TCCGATTCCTCAATCCGAGCCGCAATCTATTACTCCACCGTGCCACATATATATGTGTGTGTTTGTGTGTGTGAAATGTGTATGTATATTAATATAAATATATATATATATTTATATATATATATATATATATATATACACGTGCAATTTTTTATATATATTATTTATATATTATATATGCATGGTACTTATTGGAAAGCGGTCAATTTCAGTGATAGAGCTAACATATTTAGTTGGATTGATCAATCAATCAAACTAAATATATATATATATATATATATATATATATATGTCTCTGTATGTGTGTGTGATTTAATGGAAGCAAAAGTTTCAGCCAATGTTTGTCTGAATTTCTTTGATGAGGAGGTATCATTATTCATAATATTTATATTTCGTCTATTATCCTCATCTTTGTTGATTTTATCACTGTGGAAGGAGGTCAAAATAACGGACAGGGATGAATGCTGGAGAGTTAGGTATCTGAAAGAATCAGTGCATTTGCTAGGTTAAGAGGATCCTCTTGGCAGGCCTAGCATAGAAATATATACAATATGGGAACCACTAATAATGAAAAACAGCAAGTCTTCAACTGTCGCAGCAGCATCAATGAAAACATGATGGGCTGCAGCAGTTGCAACTCTAATCAGCAGGCAAGTATGGTTTAATAACAACAACAAAGACGGGGACAATAATCTGAATGGAAATAGTGTAAATAACAACAGCAATAAGAAATTTGAAAGCTTAAAATGTGTTACCGGAGTGTGGGATATTCAGTTATTCTTGCTATCATTAGGGTGTTAGGGTCTATACCCGCAAACCTAAAGACCCACATAAATTGGAATAAAGCCTAGTATGGCATATTTGGATAGCCAAGGAAGCATTTCGAAAGCTAAGCAGAATACTAAGAAATAGGAAAATTACACTAGAAACAAGGAAAAGAGTACTAACCTGCTATGTGATATATTTCCCCCTGTATGGCATTGAGCACTAAGGATACCATGGAACAAACACATGAGCAACGACAAAGTTTTCAAGAAAATAGAAACTAATATTTAACATCAAGAAGAGACAGTTGAGGTTTATGGTGCATATAATGAGGAAGGAGGGCTTGGTAAATCTGATACTCATGGGACAGATAGCAAACAAGATGGATAGAGGAAAACAACACATAAAATACATAGTGAGCTTGATTAAATGGATAGTGAAAGAGGGTTTATGAGAAATAACTGAAAGACACTTTATTAAATATTACAACAGACAGGAAGTTCTGGGATATGGCACATAATGAAGTACTCTTTTGTGTACCAGTTACAAGTGTCATCTGGAATATGCATTCTGGTGGGAAATGAATATGTTGGTTTAAAGAAACATTCTTCAGAATGTTCACACTATACAAGGCCCAAGAGCCACTCGAAGTAGAGGGCTACTGAAGGAGATTGTTATATGAGCAGTAAGAAGATTAAGCTAAGATTATAATGATGTGTCAAAGATAAGTTAATCCTAGACTTGAATGGGTTAAATTTGTAATGTTCAGGAAAGCATCCAATTGGGAGTCAGTTCAACATGATCACCTTATATCCTATATTGGGATAACCAAGGAAGCATTCCAAAAGCTAAGCAGAATAATAAGAAATAGGAAAATTACACTAGAAACAAGGAAAAGAGTATTATACTGCTAAATGATATCTGTCCTTCTGTATGGTATTGAGTGTTGGAAGATCTCCTTGAAGTTGAAGAGGAGACTTGAAGCAACAGATATGTGGTTCTACAGAAGGATGCTGAGGATACCATGGGCTGAATGTGTGAGCAATGACAAAATTTTGGAGAAAATGGAAACAAAAAAGAAATTAATACTTAACATCAGGAAGAGACAGTAGAAATTTCTGGGGCATGTAATGAGGAAGGAGGGCTTGGAAAATCTGATACTCACAGGACAGAGAGCAAGAAGGACAGTTGAAAACAATGTATAACATACTTAATGAGCTTTAGTAAATGGATGGCAGAACAGAGTTTAGGAGAAATAACAGAAAGACAAAGTTTATTAAGAGCTACAAGGGACAGGAAGTTGTGGAGAGCCATAATCGCCTATGTCACATAAAGAAGAAGAATCCTATCACTTCAGAAGTCTACATTGCTTTACGCCACAAATCTTCTGTAGAAGGTGGTCACAGTTTGAGCTTGTAAGACTTGATGGAGAGCACCCATAAGACAAGACTCCAGTTGAAATTGAAGAACTATACAGAAGATATAATAATAATAATAATAATTATAATAATAATACTTCATAAAAATTTAACAGAGAAACAGTATAGTCAGACATAAATGGAAAATATAGTAATGAATAAAAAATGAATTAATCAAAAATTATTAATAATAATAATACTTCATCAAAGAAATTCTAATAATTTAAACATACTAGGTCTAAAAAAAAATTCCTACTATTTAACCCATAATTGGGAGATGAGATGGATTCACACCTTTCCCAAAAGTATTTGCATGTAAGAATGCAACAAACCCAAATGAAATTCAAAAACGACTCTCCATTTTCACAGTTCACTCTGGTATTTATTGCACCAACTCACGCCCTCCTTGTGTACATGTCACGGTGTGTCCTAGCTGTAAAGGTCTGAACTAATGAAATAAAGGAATATAGTTCATCTGAACTTTTACCATGGAAATAGTGATAAGATAACGAGAGGCTAGCAACTTTACAACACTTACAAGGAAGCAGAAATGCTTTTATACTCTTTCAAGGCTGGAAACTGTCCTGGGTATGATGGTAAACTACATCTGGCAGCAAGGCCTCTGAGCAGGAGGTTTTAAGGAGCATGGAACCACCTCTTAATTGCTGGTGTTCTCAGGTTCACCCTGACCCAGGGTGGTAGTACCTGTTAGGGTCCCAACTATGGGCAAATTGTTGACTCCCAAACTGGGGTCAAAACACGATGATGGTGTAAAAATAGGTTTTAATACCAGCAATACATTTTTGGAAAAAATTACTGGCAATAAAAATCTTGTTTGCATTAAATAATCCATTGATGTTGATATGCTATAAACCAAACCAAGCCAAACTGAGGCTGGAAAGCTTTTTGTGGTGGAATTGTTGGTGGTAAAGGTGAGTGGGTGTTACACAATGTTTTCTCCTCAAGTAGGGAATGTTAAGTAGAGCGATGTAATGTTCTCGATACATGGGATTGTTTTACTTCAGCCAGGCCAACTTTTCGATAATCATGTCAACCAGCTGAACACTTCATTTTGAAAATGAAAGTTCATGCTTTTCCGGTTTGTGGATGGGTATTTTTCTGACACCTGCATTGTTTTGTACGTAAATATAATATATTAGTGATTGCTGCTCTGTCAAGGTTAACAATGAATGTAGCAGCTTATTGTTACTTTTTTTTTTTTTTAATACTAACATTCACCCAAGAGCCATAAGAATACGAAAGGAGTAATAATAGTTAACCTTAGACTTGAAGAGGTCGAGATTGGAGTGATTGGGAAAACATTCTGCTGCAAATCCATTTCGTAAAGCAGCAGTTCTTGGGAAGAATTTGTCTGAATGGAATTTACTTCTTACTATAGGAATACAAAAAGAAAACATAACAGTTGAACCTAGATATGAAGTGGCCAAGATTATAGTGATTGGGAAAACATCTTGGAAGAAACTGTTTGATTGAAACTCTTTTCTTCTGATTGTAATTATGGTCCTTGTGAACACAAATTCAACTACCAGGCCCATGAACGAAATTTGTTTTGTCAAAAGTCCTGTTTTTAGCTATTGGTTAATTAGTATGAATTGTATCAGTAAATCATTATTATCTCAAAAAATTCTTATAATCTAAAATGCTTGTGGTCACATCAATTTAAAACACCAGTTCTCAAATGATCAGCAAAGTTAAGCAATGTCAATCCTGGTCAGTACCTAGGTATTCCCACTTGGGAATGTCAATCCTGGTCAGTAAGCAATCTCAATCCTGGTCAGTACCTAGGTATTCCCACTTGGGAATAACAGATGCTGCAAGCTTGTATGTGCAGGTGGTGTAATGGATAATGACTTGGTATTGGAAATTAGAGAGCTGTTATATTCAAATGGGAAAGGCATGAATCCACCTCTTCTCCCTCCAGCTATGGGTTAATTAGTAAGACTTGTATCAGTAAATCATTATTATCCCAAAAAAAGTATGACAATCTGAAATGCTTATGGCCACATCACATTGAAATACCTGTTCCTGTATGACCACCAGATTTAAGTGAGTCTTGTCAATACCTACTTGGGAACACAAGGTACTGTAAACTTTGATGTGCAGGTGGTGTAATGAATAAGGGCTTGGAATTGTTAATTGGACATCTGAGTTCCAATTCTGGTTGGTTTTGTTATATTCACTTATGCACAAATACTTTTGGGAAAAGTATTAACCTACCTCTTCTCCCCCTCCAACTATTGGTTAATTAGTTAAACTTGTATTGCTAAAACTATTATTATCTTCCCGCAACAAATGCATATAAAATATTTAGATTTTGATATTAATAAACCATAGAGGTTTACATGCAGCTAATCAAAACAAGCAAAATCTTACAACCTATAAAAAATATTTTCTAGCTTTAAATAACCTGCAAAAAGGTTAATAAGCGGTAAAAATCCAAATCAATCAATAAAATCCTTGTACACCCTTATAAAAACCTGAATCAGTTATTGGGTACAGTTCTTTTTGATTTTGTAGTGCCAGCCAACAAGTTTTGAAGCAGCATGGTTATGACCAAGGCCTACAGGCTTCACTTTGCTAAAAGCCACTTTTAATCATTGATGTTAGAAATATCTAAACTACCAGCTGTATGCAAATGCTTTCTGACACAAGTTTTCAGGATAGTTTTGATGAAAAGTAAAGATGAAAGAAATGATATTAAAAAGTTACTACTTCCATTATTAAAATCCATTACAGATTCTTCTTAGAGATTTTCTTTACTTGAATATTGAATTCTTATGTACATCTCTTAATGATCGTTGAAACACTGATTCTCATATGATCACCGAAGTTAAGCAACATCAAGCCTGGTCAGTACCTAGATGGGTGGCTATTTGGAAATACCAGGAGCTGTAAGCTTGGTTGTGCAGTTGGCGTAATAGCTTGGAAATGTTAATTGGAGAGCTGAGTTCCAATTCCCATAGTCTGTTATATTCACTTACATGCAAATACTCTTGGGAAATGTATGAATCCAGCTATGGGTTAATTAGTAAGTATTGTATCACTGAACCATTATCTCAAATAATTCTTACAATCCAAAAAATATTTTCTGGCATATTCTTAATCGTAATAATAACTGTTTCTTTATAAGGAAACATTTGGCATTAACTGACTGAGCAGCCTTGTACTGCTGTTGACTGAAATTTATAAATGTTTCTAATAAAAAGATTTTTCAGGAAAATAGGCTCCTTAAGTCTAATAGCTGTTATCACTCTTTTAATATCAATCAGCGGTTTCCTTCCTAACCTTTTATTTGAAGTAGTGTGGAATGTCAACATCCTTGATTATGTCATTATTTTCTCTTTGAGTTGCATGTGATATCCATTTTAGCTGTTGATGCAAAGTTCTAATGATGTGCTTTGTTATTGGGTACAGTTCTTTGTGATTCTGTAGTGCCAGTCCACAAGTTTAGAAGCAGTTTGGTCTTCACCAAAACCCACAGGCTTTACTTCCTAAAAGTCACTCTTAATCATTGATGTTAGAAATATCTAAACTGCCAGCTGCAATGCAAACGATTTCTGACACAAGTTTTCAGGATAGTTTTGATGAAAAGTAAAGATGAAAGAAATAAAATGAAAAAGTTAATACTTCCATTGTTAAAATCCATTACAGATTCTTCTTGGAGATTTTCTTTACTTGAATATTGAATTCTTATGTACATCTCTTAATGATTGTGGAAACACTGATTCTCATATGACCACTGAAGTTAAGCAACATCAAGCCTGGTCAGTATCTAGATGGGTGGCTATTTGGAAATACCAAATACTGTAAGCTTGGTTGTGCAGGTGGCATAATGGCTTGGAATTATTAATTAGCAAGCTGAGTTCCAATTTCCATTCAGTTTGTTATATTCACTTATGCACAAATACCTTTGGAAAAAAAGTGGATCTACCTCTTCTCCTCCCAACTATGGGTTAATTAGTAGGACATGTATCAGTAAATCATTATTATCTCCAAGAATCATTCTTACAAGCTAAAAGTATTTTCTGGCTTTAACCCTGACTGAGTCACATGGTGTATTTTGTTAATCCAAAATTTTAAAAGTACTTGTAATTCCTAGTTAGTAACTTGTTTCTGTTGCTCGCTCACACAATTATCCTGAATCTGTGAGGGTGTGTAGTACACATTTTGGTGCAGTTGTAGCTCAGTTGTCATGGGAGGAAGACGTCACTTTATCTTCTTCCGAGTCTCCTGTCACCCCCACCTGACTAGTGAAGATAAGTTTTCATCATTTATATTTTTTTATACGTATTATATTAAATAACATGCAAAAGTTTTGTAAATCATAAAAGAAATCAATCTTTCTACTGCTAACTATATATACATCTATTTATATACATACATATATATATATATATATATATATATATATATATATATATATATATATATATGTTTGCATGCATATATATATATATATATATATATATATATATATATATATATGTACATATATATATATATTAAGATATTTTTATGTTTATACATTCTTTTTATAGATACAAATATTTAAGTAAATGTTCTATTTATAATAAACAGTATTAAACAACATTTACTGGCCTGAATGTATGAGAAATTTTCATAGAAAATATTCATCCTCAACAGGAATCAAACCTGTATCCTATACGGAACCGTCATATAGCCTGATGTGCCTTTAATCGATTTGGCCACAGAGGAGCGTTCGGTTAACAAGGTCGATTTTACTGTCTTTATACTTCAATCTTCCATGATTCTCTCACATACATTGAAGACATTTAAAGATGTAACCCTCTTGATGGCAATTTTATTGAATAAATTTACTCTTTACTATTTTAAGATATTTTTGTGCAATTTTGGCAAATATATCGTCTACAATGAGATGTCAGTGTTATTTTCATTTTTTCATAATTTAGATCACAATTTATCCACCATCACACTCTGTGTGTATATATATATATATATGAGACAACATATATATATATATATATATATATATATATATATATAGATGAATCGACATATATACATATGAGATAATGATATATTGATTTTATATATATTAAAACAATATTATAGAAAAATTCATGACAAAATGTAAAAAGCTTTTTGTATGATGTGTTATGTCCTTTAGGACTTCATCTGACTAAATTTAAATATCAAATATCTAAAAGTTATATTGTATATTTTTGTTATATTACTGCAAATTTAGTTTGAAGAAGTCCTAAATGATGAAACATGTCACACAAAAACTTTCCACACACTATATATATATATATATATATATATATATATATATATATATATAAAAATATATAGGTCCCAAACCAAATTGAAGAAAATTAAATCATTAAGAAATTTCTGTTTTACAATTATTCTGT